GTAGTTAAAGATGAGGCAAGTGATTTCCCTTCCTGTATCTTACCAGAAGTGAGGACATGTGGTCCAGATCTATGTGGTTGACAGTACCTTAAGTGTGTATTTGGTGAGCACAGTAGATACAGAGCTAGGCAGGTTCTGACCTTTTTTACAAGTCACCAACTAGGAAACCACCCAGTAGGTTGTCTACTGCAAAGGCAATAGGGGCCTTAAAAAAGAGTCTGAGGACTGGGGTCATCAGACCCTGAGTATTGGTCCCACGGAATATTTTTTTGTAATCCACTGAGGCACTGCCCAGAGTAAGGTAAAATTTATAGTTGTTCTGGTAGAATAAGGCTCTATAAATGTACCTAAAGTGTGAGTACACCTTCAAAAAGCTGTAAAGCTTTTCCATGGTGTTTGGTTACAGCTTGAAACACTCCAGCAAGCTCAGGTGGCCTTTCAGGGGAGCTCTGTTTCAGCCTCTGTGCAAACTGCAGTTTTCAAAATGAGCATTTTCCTGCAGCTAAACTTTCTTGGGAAAGTGTATGTAAGTGGGAAAGGATAAATTACCAGAATTACATCTTCTGTCCTATGACTGTGTCTGTAGGGCCAAACAGCCCAATGATATGTGTAAAGTTGAAGTCTAGAGAGGCAGTTGACATCACCATTTGTTCTGACTTAGTGCATTACCTGCCTTTCAAGCCCTCTGCCTGTCTTCTGCCTTTCCCTAAGACAGCATTTCTTGTAGAAGTAGATGCCTGATCTCACAGACATTTAAAAGTCAACTGATGGATACATGTCAGTGCTACTGAGGGAAGAAAGGGGACTTTGGTTCTATGGCCTTTCTAATAAGACAGTTTTGAAAATCTAATGCTTCAAATATGAAGACAAATCTTCCATCATCTTCAGTAATTTATAACAGTAGTTAATACCCTCAGCCTTATTTTTTGGTTTTGGTTTGGACCACAGACTTCAGCTTTCATCTGTGGGATCTTACAACATGGGTTTTTATAAGGGGAGTTGCCCTAGACCCTGGGGAGCAGCACTGGGAATTAGGTTTCTGTTCCCTAGACCAAGCTCGTGCTGAGAGTTTGGTACAGCCTGTGAGAGCCAGTGAGGATCTTTGGGAAGGTGCAGTCAGAGCAGCAATGCTTGGCACAACTACCTTTGCTGTTAATTTGAAATAGTCAATCATCTGAAGCATGGCTTTTAAACCTGTTAACAAATAATTAACTGCAATGCGGTCTCTTGGCACAGCAAGGATAGCTTCTTAAGCCTGAGGCTGTACCATGTGAGAAAGTGTATGTTCTGAACTTCAAAGAGGAGCAATAAATCTATTTATAAATCCAGACACCTCTACAGGAGATCCGTTCCTGTGTTTTCACTTACGTAATCCCACAAAACATCAGTCATACGTAATTCAATACAATAAACTTTAGAAATCACTCAGTGTCAGCGTTGCTCTGGGCTGTTAGGCAGCCCTGTGTAATGCACACTGGCAGTGCTGACCTTCCAGCCAGCAAAGAGCAGCAGGCAGCAGCCTGGGGCTGTCAGCCCTGCTTCACAGACACCCCTGTGCCCCCCTGGGAGGTGTGATGGGGGCATGCTCAGGCAGGGCAGTACACACTGATCTGAGCACTGGTTGTGCACACTGACCCCTGCAGAGACGAGCCACACGCAGCTGGTGAGCTCAGCACCCAGCATGGACACTCTGGAAAACCCGCCTGCTGCTCCACTGGTGTCTCCCAGATGTTGGTACTGCTGGATGGCCCCGTGGGAGGGGAAGGAAAGAAAGCCTGACCAGGCTTTTTTAAAACATCTGACAGAGGAATGACCAGGAAAAATTGTCCTATTCTGTGATATTGCCCTCTTGCTCACAAGGGGTTAGAACAGCACAGCTCCAGTCTTGAGCAGGCACCTGCACTCCCAGAAAGGCAGGGTCAGAGACATCAGGAGCAACTTCAAGTATCTGTGCAGAGCAAGGGTTAGGTACCCCATATCTCGATGGGCAGGCAGTCATCCAGTCTTTCCTTAAAAACTGCCAGTTTCAGAGATCCTCTGGTCTCCCAGGGTACTTTCATCCAGGGCTTGTGTTTTGTAATCATCACAAACTTGGTCAAAGTTAAACCTGTTTCTCTTGAGTGGGGCTGATAGTTTCTAGCCCTGTCATGCTGTTGGCTTATGCACAGTGATGCTCTGCAGTCCTCAAGCTTTTTTTGCAGGGCTTCTGCCCAGCCCCATTTTTACTCATGTTTTCCAGTTCTCTTGAGCATTGTGCTTCCCTCTGGCCATGGTTGAAATGCATTCTGAAGATTTTGGACAGCCTCTCTCTTTTATCAAAACTGCAGTCTCATCCAATCCAGCCACTCCAAAATGGTTGAAATCTCTCCAGTTTAGCATCTTCCAGAAATCTTATAAGTGTGTTCTCTGTTCCTCATCCAGATCATGAAACAGTTTAATGGCATCGAACTCAGGACAGAGCCATGTGGAATCATTTTTTGCAATGACATTGAGCTAGTCTTCCCAAACATGAGATTGTGCTGCATTCAGGTCACATTTGCCTGTTGTTTTGCTGAGACCATCACAGCCCATGGATGTTCACAGAGCATCAGCCTGTCCACCCTCTGGACTGGGGTGTGCCAGGCAGGGCTCCCCCATGGAGGCCAGGCATCCCCAGGCTGGCACGATTTCCAGACCACTCCTTGAAACACAGCTGGTCCATGTACCCAGCAGCAGCATCAAGTAACTGCTGTTTCTGCAGAACATCCCACCTCCTCTTCTAAGTCAGTTTGGAGTTAATGGTAATGAGAAAGGCTGCTGGAAATGCCTGTAGTGGGAATTGAGCCATTCCTGCTACTGCCCTCATCCCTGCGAGATTAAATCCTTTGCAGAGGCTCCCTGCAGCAGCTCGTCATCAACAATACCTTCACCCCAAAAAGGGAAAGAATCAGATGCTTTCTTTAAACCTGCCTGTAACTCCTGGGCTAATTCACAGGCCCAGGGCAGGATTTAGGCACTTTGTGAATGTCTGAGTTGGGGGAGTGTGTCCCCTCCATGCCTGCTGGCCAGAGAGGCTTGTCATGAGCGTGATTATTCCCAACTGTGGTAGCCTAAGAAGACACAGCACCTCTTGCCATGGGGTAGCAGGATTATGGCTTACTTAATCATGGTACAGGTAGTCACAAGAGAGCCTGTGTCAGTGCTGGGAGAAGCGGGATCCCAGCTGTCCAGAATGGGCTGAGCTGGTTCCCTTGCTCCCCTCTGCCACCCACACAGCACAGCTCCCTCTCTTGCATGGGCTGCTCCTGGTGTTGCTGTTCTCTGTCCTGTGCAATACCCAGGAACCTAATGATAGCCTGCTGTGCTGGCTGCTGCCAGCACAGCAGGAAACTCTTCCTGCCTTACCAAGGGGTTTTCCTGGTCTTGGCCGCTGTCCCATCCCACCTCACCCACTTGTGGCTTTGGAGCACTGTTTCTCACATAGCTGGGGTCCCTGGGGTCCTATCGACTGCAGCATGAGGCTGAGGAACTGTGTCTCTAGGGGAACCCATCTGTTCCCATTTGCTCTCTCCAGGCTCTTTGCTTCCCCTCATGCCTCTCTATTCCCCTGTGCAGCCCCCTGTCCTGAGCAGCACCACCAACCCCCTCCGCTCTCTGGTGCTGGGTCTGTTGGGTGGGAACTGAGAGCACATCCCTTTGGGTGTGCTGAGAGAAAGGGTGACCTGGAGGGATGGCCCTCCTGTGGGGGGACCAGCTGGGGGCACAGCACCTGAAGTCCTAGCAGGGCTTTATCAGCAGCACAGCATACAGGAGGGAGGAGGAGCTTGTCAGGGTTTTTGGGTCAGTGGCACAGAGATATGCACAGCTGCTTCTTTCTTCAGTGTCTCAGTGGCACATACAGAGCATTTTCCATTTCATTTCTTGCAGGTGGGAGCTTTGATTTCCCTTGCAGGCTCTCAGCCCCCTTAGCAGGGGTTTGCTCCTGCTTTTCATTTCTATACCAGACATACTTGATCTAATGGCTTCTACAGGTGGCGTGGGGTACAAGAGGGTCCGGCCATGGTTGTCAGCTGTCATCCAAAGTCAGAGTTAATCCAGGAAAACAGTAAAAATTAGTAATGTATATTGCATTCCTCCAATCCATACGCTTTCCATTAGGTGATCTCCCATCCTCCTTAGCACAGGAGGAAAACCCTGCCAATGGCAGTCTTCTGACTCTGAAAGGCAAGGATTAGTCGTGCCTGGAAAGCCAAACTTGCATTCCTGGGCACACTGTCTATGCAGGGAGTAGTCTCCCACCTTTAAATCCAGGCAGCAGATGCTGGCCATGTGCACAGCCTCTGCCTGTAAGCCCAGGAGCTTCTGCAGCAGCAGATGTGCCGGGCCTGGGGCCACACTGGGGTGATGCAGCCAGGGTCCCTTGTGCTGATCTGGGTTTCCCTGTGTCCAGAGGTCTCTCAGTATAGTGGCCTTGCCCAGTGTCACCACATCGCCCAAGAACAACAGCCAGGTCAGGACGGTAACAAGGCACAGTTAATTCTTTTGAGAGATCACATTTTAGCTTTTTTAAATTAATAATCTGATGAAGAAATTCCTCTAGATCATCAGTGTCAAGAGGGTTAGACAAAGTGAAACATTCAGCTTTCTTAAATAAACCTTATCTTCAATCACCCCCACACTCTAGTGGCTCAAGAACAACAGTTCTGTAATAAATGTTGTACAGCGCAAACTCCACCGGTAATTATGTGCAGATGAAGGAAGGGAAAATAAAAGACATATTAGTTTCTAAGTGTGGCTGCACATGCTAAGTGTGGCCTGGGCCTTTGAGGTGTCACAAGCAGACTGGGGCCATGTTGTGTGAGATGGAGCTCCATGTGTGGAGCTATATAAAGGAAGGGGGTTCCCCCCTCCAGCTCCTGCTCCAGACAAAAAAAAAGGTCCAGAAAGCTCTGTTTTTGGTGCTTTTGGGTCATTAGCTTGCAGGGCTAACTCTCACCTTATTTTTATCCTTACTTTTGCAGAGAATGTCATCAACGGGCAGGACTATGAGGTGATGATGCAGATTGACTGTGAAGTGATGGACACCAGGATCCTCCACATCAAAAGTTCATCTGTCCCTCCGTACCTCCGAGAGCAGCGCAGAAATCACACCGACACCTTCTACAGCTCGTCCCCCTCCGTCCCAGAGATGCCCCATGCCCTGAGGGCCGTTGTCAAATCCCCGCAGTAGCTCCTGGTTTAGCACACGGCCGGTGCATCCAACATGCAGCAGGTCCTGCCGCCAGACTGAGCCCTTCCTTGGCAGGGCCCTGGGGCTCCTGGCACATGAGCACAGCAGGGGCAGTCCCCCTGAGCCCATTCCTGTGCCTGACCCTACCCAACCACCGCATCCTGTCCAGGGATTATGCAGCTCAGCCCTGGGGGCCCCCTGCAGCAATGCCTGGTGCCAGAGGTGAGGGTGAGGCACCGCTGCAGTCCTGGGGTCGGCATCAGCAGCTACTGCCCAGGGCTGGCGTGGGGGGGACACGGGCCATCCCTGCTACTTATGCATTGTCCAAAACTGTGGGTTGTTTTTAATTTTTGTCCCTGTTAGGCTGCCTCCTGAGGTGGGGTGCTGAACCCTGATGTCCTGCCCAGAGACATCACAGCAGACAGCCAGGCTTGAGATCAGGCTTCTCTCCCTGCAGTGTGTGATGGACAGCAGCAGGAAGCAGTGTCCAGCTCCCAGCTGCAGGTGCAGGGGTTGCTGCAGCCCTACACCCCATGCTGGGCCAGCCACCCAACCCTGGCCCTGCACCCCAGGAGCATCCTTCTTCTTCCAGAATGGCTGTGCTGGGCCTGACCGGGCAACCCCACTCCACATCAAGCCCAAAGCTGCCCAAATCCCTGCCTGTGCAGCCTCCCTCGCTGGGGAGCCCTGGGATGCTTCCCAGGGTAGCAGTGGTGCTGTGGGGCAGCCCAGCCACTGCCACCCAGGAGGGTGGTGGGACCCTACACTTACAACTAAAGCACCACAGCCCCCACTGACAGGGCAGTGCACACCCCCCACACCTCCTCAAGTCCGTGCACTCTCCTGCACACTGCTGCTGTCTTCCCCAGCCCACGTGGCTGCTTGGCAAAAGGCTGGGGCTTGGCCCAGGGGAGGTGATTTAATGCAGCAGATGCATTTGCAAAGTTTTTGGTTTCTTGGGTTTGGTTTCTTTTTCCTGTTTTTTGTTTGGGTTGTTTTTTGTGTGTGCTATTTAATACTTTTCACTGCTAACAACAGCCTGTGGAGCAGCACTGGCCCCGCTGGGGCAGTTGGGCTGCTTCAGTTCAGAGGGACACAGTCACAGCACCTTCCTCCTGAAACCACACACACATGACGCACACTCAGCCCCACACACCCCTCTCTGCCTTCCCAGCACTGACAGCCACCCGCCAGGCAGTGGGGGGTTGTGCTGTTTGCCCCAAACATGGAGCTGCAGCCAACTGCTGCTGTTCCAAAATCAGTGTGGAGCTCTGTTCAGTCTGTCCCCCATTTGCCAGCTGAGCCCCAGGCCGGAGCTGGGCCGAGGAGCTGGGCACTGAGGTGCTCAGCTGGGATGAGAGCCAGCAGAGCATCGGCCTTCCATAATGACTTCAGCATGTTACAGCATTTTTCTTCCCCTTTACAGTTCACACAGAAGATGATGGGCTTCAGTTTGCCAGCCAGCTGCCTTTCCTTCATGATCTGAGCACTGACTGGCTCGTGTGGGGTTTTTAACTATGAATATTATTATTTGTGTGTGTGTGTGTGTGTGTGTGTGGCTGTTAGGAAATAAAAGCTGATCCAGCAGCAAGACAAACAGCTCCAGGGGCAGTGAGGAGGAGGATGAGGAGCAATACACCCCTGTGAAGTATGTGCCTTGCAACACCATGGAAAAACTTTGCCCTTTGCCACGTACTCGGCGCAAGCTGCGCCGGCCCCCCATCCTCTCGGCGCTCGCGCGGCTGGGAAGCAGCCGGGCTCGGCAAGGGGTTTGGCTGCACTCCTTGCACCAGTTCGTTTTCCTGGCCCCGGCCCCACCTGACTGTGGGCCAGCTCACACAATATTCAAAAATAAAAACCCCGGCGGTGCCCCAGCCAGAGGCACACGGCTCCCCTGCAGTCCCAGGAAGGGATGGCCGACTGCTGTGGGGGGCATTTACTGGGTTGGCACAGCCCAGCACGTTGGGAAGGGCTGCTGGTAGAGGCTGGGGGCTCAGGACTGCTACAGCACTGCATCCTCAGTCAGCACCATGGGCTCCAGTGGTGGAGAGCATCTCTCATCCTGTGTACTTCTGTTCTCTGTGTCCCTGGCACTGAAGGCAATAAAATCCTTCTTTTATTTATTATTAATATTCTTTGTTATTGTGCTTATTAATGCTGTTTTCCTTAGGCAAATGACTAGAAGGCCTGTGCTGTGTCTGCTGTCTCTTGGGCTGCAGCGTGACTCTGCTCAGCGCAGCACTGGCACTGCCCATGGCACATGCACCCAGACCTCTCTCCTGCTCCTGAGAAGGGCACCCTGCATGAGCTCCTCCACTTTGCCAGTGGAGCCTGGCAAAGAGAAGGCCACAAGGGTCTCACTGCAGCCCGAGTGACCCCAGTGCAGCTGACATCACAAAGACAAGCTCTTCTCAGGGCTGGACATGACCATGTCACCTTGGCCCAGTGCCAGTTCCAAGTGGCCTAGAGCTCCCTAGGGTCCCTTCCCCTTTGGTGTGAAAGTTGGGTCTCCCCAAACCAACCAAAACCAATCCAAAACACCCCCATGTATTTCCATGCACCCAAAGGTCTGAACCAGAGCCAAAGAAAGCCCCAAACAGCTGCAAAGGTACTGGATCCTTTATTACTGACAGCAGGTAAATACAAGATGCTGGTAGGCAGGAGGGCAAGGGCTTTGCCTCTGTGAGGGGATCCCGATGGTCAACAGCCAGGACCAGGCTGAGCACGGCAGTAAGAGGCAATGCAGGATTTGGAGCAGCAGGACAAGGGCTCTCCAGCCCTCGGGGCTCCCACAGCCCCACAGCCCCCTGCCCAGGCAGCCCAGTGCCCAGCTGAACGGAGCCTTTGCCCAGCAAATGCCAAGGGGGACTACTTTAGGTTACAAAATGAACAAACAAAAGCCATCTACACGTATTTACAGCATCCCCCTCCTGCCACCAGCTCACTCCAGCTGTGAATCAGGGCTCAAGGTGCACCTGAACCCCCGAGGGGGTTGCAAAGGGCAGAGCCCAAGCTGGAGGGGACAGTCCTTGGCATAAGTGCCAGCACCAGGGGCTGCTGGAGCTGCGCTCACAGCCCCATTGTACAGCAGGATCTCCAAAAGGAAGCTGGGAAGATGGTCCTGAGAGATGGGACATTCCCATGGGACACACAGGTCCTCCACCAGGGCAGGCAGACATCAGCATCCCGCTGGGACCTGGTGCCCACGGCAGAGAGGCCAGCTTTTTACTGGTTCAGGGTGTCTTGCTGATCATCTTCAGCTAAAAACATCATCAGGAGGACCATGGCCACCTCCTCTTCCCTGGGCAGGAGGGCCCATCTGCCCTTCCGAAGGAGAACCTCCTTCCCCTGGGAAGGAAAATCAGAAGCAAGGATACAGCAAAGACAAAGGGGGTGGTTCTGGCCTGGGGATCGATCTACAATCCACCATAAAAAACCAGCTTGAAACAAAACCCATCATTTACTCTTCGATTTGTACAAAATAATAATAACAATAAAAATAATAATAAAAGGTGCTGGTGGCCCCTGGCTTGCAGTGCCCCACTGTGGTGGGGGGGTCTCAGTAGGCAAAGATGACATGGTAGGTGACTTGGTGGCCATTGTCCCAGGCGTAGAGCAGGCGGTCCTTGGGGTTATAGTCTATCTGCGTGGTGTAGGCGTACTCGTTCTCAAAGAGCAGCCTGGGGATGATCTGCGTGTTGGTGTGCGTGTCAAAGGCGTAGGAGATGTTGGCATTCCTCTTGTTGTAGCTGTCGACCGCGTACAGGACCCCACAGATGACAAAGCAGTTCCCGTAGAAGTTCTTCCGCAGCCCCGTCCTCCACGTGGTCTCCTTCTGGGTGCTGAGGTCGGCTGCGTTCAGCTTGCTCAGCACGATCACCTCCTGGTTGAAGCCCTCGTAGCTGATGGCCGGGTAGATGACCCACAGGCCGTTCTCATCCACAGCAAAGTCCACGTCTGAGTGGCCTCGCCACCGCCACGGGGTGGACTCCTCGTAGGCCACGTCGTGCAGCATGGCCCAGGCGGCCACGTACCGCTGCTTCAGGTCATACTTGATGATGTTGCGCGTGAAGGCCCGGTTGTAGTAGAAGGAGCCGTTGTAGACAACGTGTCCCGTCCCAATCCAGCTGTATGGGAGCTTGTAGGAGTTGCTCCAGCGACCTGCGGGGCAGAGACACCTTGCTGGTGAAACTCTCCCTCTGCTTTGGGGTGGGTGGCCCTGCTGTCAGCACCCTCTGCCCCCAGCTCTGCCTGCGCTCCCTCCACGGCCACTAGCTGCAGCCTGACCTGCCCCATGCTCTGAACCCAGGTATTGGCCCCAGGATGGGGGGTCCCCAGGCAAGTCACTCCCCCATGATCCAGTATCCCTGGGAAGGAGGGTGCTACTTGGATCAGCCGAGGAGCAGCCAGCGTGGCATCGGAAATGGTGCAAAACCCACCTTGCTTGAAATTGTCGAGGTTCCTGAACTCCACCAGCGTGTTCCCATAGTAGTAGTTGGTGACATAGATCCGCTCCTCCCGGGCCAGGGGATCCTTCATCCAGGCTCCCTCATTGCGCCCGTAGGTGTTCTGGGTGGTGGGGCCCGAGATGGTGGACAGTGTGTCCTTGCAGCGCCCTGCATGGAGAGAGAAGGGCTTGTGAGGCCCCAGGCAGGGTGGCCACACTCTCCCTGCTCCTGTTGGGGTAGGCATCCCCCCCCTTCAGCCCCTTACCCACCCAGCAGGTACCCCCTGCTACCTCAGCCCAGCTGCAGCTTCACAGGACCCAGTAGCACTGGCCAGATCCTGCAAACATCTCCTCACAGCCTCAGCCATGTCCCTGCCCCAGCTGAGGCTGCTACCTGTCTTGGGTCCATGTCCAGGGAGGCCTCTTTTTGCCCTGCCCAGCCCAGCCCCTAAAACTGGGGGAGACTACAGTAGGTTCCAGAATTAATAAGCAAGTAAGCCCAGCCGGACACGCTGTGGGCACGAGCCAGCCCCCATGTGCACAGTTGGGTCAGTGCAGGACCTGCAGGCACTCACCAATGATGTTCCTGATGTCCTCCTCCTCCAGGCCCTCCTTTGGGGTAGGGGGGCTGACTGGTGTTGGGGGTGTGCCTGCCTGTCCCCAGACTCCTGGGCTGCTCTCCATGTCACTCCAGGCCCCAGCGGTGGTGGTTGGGGGCAAGTTCTCCATGGCTGTGTCCAAGGCTGCCAGTAGCTGTGGGGTCCCCTCCTCCACCAGCCCTGCTGGGGCAGTCACGGTCTCTGGGGTGGGGGTCAGCCAGCTCACAGCATTGGGGTCTGGCGTGGGGTCCGTGGATGTGGCAGGTGACAGGGGCACCGTGGCTGTCGCAGCAGTGTCAGCAGCTGGGGGGGTGGTGGGAGCACTGCCACGGGTGGGGGGCCATCCCACTGGGGAGGGCTTCCTCACGCCCTCGCCCGCCCTGCTGTTGGGCCTCAGGAGCTGGTCCTCGATCAGCAGGTCCACCGTGTTGTCCCCGCTGAACAGCTCGTCCGCTGCCAAATACAGACACAGGTGTCACCCCACAGTCCCCCACAGCCCCTCCGTGTTGGCCCCTCCACGCTGGCCCCCTGCCCACTTCTGCAGTCTGTCTTGTACCAAGCCCACATGCATTCCCTCTCCCCTTCCAGTCAGAGAAGGGCTGTGTGAACTACAGAGGCTGACGGTGCTCACGGTAGGAGGTCAGTGAGACCCCTTCACAGCCACATCCACCACCCCAGGCAGGGCAAAGCAGGAGGTGATGGAGAGCAAATCTGTCCCAGTTGCATGCCCAGCCAGATCCCATCCACCTGACCTGGGATGCCAAAGGGAGTGCCTCATCCAGGGCACAGGGACCACTGGGCTCCCCAGCCACTGCAGAAACTCTTGGAAAGGTGTTGGCGTTGGGTGTTTTAAACTGAAGCAGTGACCTATTTCTTTAGCTACCAGGGATTTTCCACGGAATGACAATGCTGCATTGCTCCACATACAGGGCTCACAGGCTGCATAGCAGTGAAGTACCAGTCATCCCACCTCCTCCTGCCTCCTCCCCCTGCTGCTCCCACACGCTTTGCCCACACATTCCCAGGGGATGAGGCAGGACTCAGGGGTGGACACTGGTTTTTCCACAGGANNNNCCCCAGCCACTGCAGAAACTCTTGGAAAGGTGTTGGTGTTGAGTGTTTTAAACTGAAGCAGTGACCTATTTCTTTAGCTACCAGGGATTTTCCACGGAATAACAATGCTGCATTGCTCCACAGACAGGGCTCACAGGCTGCATAGCAGTGAAGTACCAGTCATCCCACCTCCTCCTGCCTCCTCTCCCTGCTGCTCCCACACATTCCCAGGGGATGAGGCAGGACTCAGGGGTGGACACTGGTTTTTCCACAGGACACAGCCAGCCATCCCACTGACCGTGGCTGCATACCCAACTCACGTTGCTCCTCGATGTCATTCTCCGACTCGGTGGACTGGGCTTTGTAGTAGGTGACCCCTCGGACAATGGTGGGCTTGGAAGGAGGCCGGGTCCTCACCCTCAGCTTCCTTTGCAAGAGCTGCTCAGGCTTCTTTTCCTCCAGAGAGAGGTGCAGCTCTGGGAGGGACTCAACAGAGTTGATCTGCTGGGATATGGTTTCATCTTTCAGGAATCTTTCTTCATATTTGCCCTGGAAGAGACACAGAATGTTGTTACTGGATAAGCCAGAAATGCAGCATTTTGGGGACAGGGTAGGTCAGGCTGGCCAGTCCTGAATTGGGTAGGAGCTCTGTGCTCCCTCCTTCTTCAGGGTCACCCTCAGTCCCTTCTGACATGGGAAACCCTCCAGGAGACAGAGGGATGGCAGACGAGCATTGCTCCTGCATATCCTTGGTGCCACCCTGCAATTCCAGGACTCAGCACTCAATAAGGCATAGGCTGTGGGATGCAGAACAGGCAGGCAGAGTGAGATCCACTCCCTTGCATGCCAGGGAGCAGTGCTGGCAGCTGATCTGTAGAGAGAGTGCAATGTGCACCGAGCTTTCACGAGGCAGAGAGGCTCAAGGCACCTTCCCAGCAGGACCGGGAACCCCCCCAGAGGCAGGGACCGGGAACACCCCGGGGCAGGGACCAGCTGCAGCAGCTCATGTCTTAAGGATTTCATCTCATTAAAGGAAATCAGAAAGCCAGCCTGAAGGTTGAAGCTGTGCCCATTTGGCTGAGAAGATGGGCCCTGCTGCAATTAACAGTGAGAAAAGGGGCATAATGGGAAATGAGGTCACTCGGGGTAATAAAAGCCCCACACTCCGCTCCCCTTCCTGGCTGGGGCTGGCTCCCCTCCAGCAGGCAGCAGCTGCTCAGCTTTCGGCGTGGGGAGCAGGGGGAGCGGGGCTGGGAGCATGGCCGGACATCCCCTGCCTGGGGCACGGCTCTCTGGGGGCAGAGTGTGCTGGCACGGCACGGCTGGGGCCATTTCCCCACCTGCCAACACACAGTGCAGGTGTGGGAGCCCACCCTTCCCACCAGGGCTTGGGGAGCCAACCCCCACATAGGACCCGCAGCACCTGGGGGGTCAAGTGCAGGCTGTTGCCACCCTTAGGAGCTGAGCACCTCTGTTTGAGCTGGAAATGATGTTTCCCTCCCTAGACACCTTCTGCCCTGCAGAGGTGAGGGCAGGATGCTCCAGGAGTTGCCCAGCAGGGATAAGAGGAGCATGAGGCCATGCTACATCTCACTGCTGAAGCAGCAAATGCATCAGGACACTCTGGACAGACCTTTTCTCAAAACACCCCTCTCACCCCTCTCTGAGGCTGCACAAAAGCTGCTGCCCCAGGCTGAGGTTGTTGCCATGCTGAGCAGACCCCATGGAGACCCCCCCAGTCTGGGGCTGGGTGCCAGAGCCAGGGATGCCCAGCCTCTGCCTGGAGCCTACCAGGCGCAGGGGCTTTCTGTGGAGGGGTAATTGCCTGGGAGGGAGGGAGGGCAGGCGACAGGCTGTCCCTCCACGGAGCCCCAAGCCCTGCTAATCAAAGGCTCTGAGTTTCCCACCGCTTCCCAGCCGGCCCCACAATGACATCACGCTTTCCGAGCAGTTCAGCCGCTGCTGACCTCGAAAACCAACAACCCCGTGGGAAGGGGGGAGGCTCAGGGAGCAACCTCCCTCTGCTCCCACCTACATCCCGCCCCGGCGGCAGCTGGGCTGTGCCGAGAGAAGCAGGCTGGATTGGAGGCACGGAAACAGGGTCATCCGAGCCGAGAAAAAAACCACCGGCCCGGGGCCACATCCAGGAGACACCCCCAGGGCTGGCTGGTGCAGCAGCAGTGACATCGAGCCGTGTTTGGGCAGCTGTACCTCTGCGTGTGTGTAGGCAGCCTCCGCATCCCGCTGCAGCGAGCCCTCGATGTCCGTGAGGCTGTTGGTGAGGAGCCTGGAGCAGTTCTCCCTGTCCCTGCCGGAGGGATCCTGCAGACCCTCCTCCCCACTGGCTCCTGCACGGTGACCTTCCTGTGTGAAGTTCCTGGACATGCCCTAGAGAAGCAAGAGAGGAGACTTTACCCCACTTATAGTCAAGGGATGCTCTGTGGCCCCCAAACCACAGCTCAGAAGCCAGAAAGCAGCTCTTTGCTACCATCCTGGGTTTACAGCTGGGACACTTTAGCTGCTGAGAAGATGCCCCCTGACCCTAGTGAGATTCAGAAACGCCATCCTTCATGTGCACATCCAAGATCTACTCTTTTCCACAGTTTCCCATGGAGCAGGAGAATGGCCGTGAGGTTCTTCAACACCCATCTTCAGCTACGCTTGCTGGGTCATGGAAGAGAAAAAGACAAGCTAAAACACCTAAAGTCTCAGCCTGGTGTCCTTGGCCTGTGGCAACAAGTTCATCTCCCATTTATTAACCTCACTTTCCTAGCAGGATGCCATCCTGGCTGGTCACTGCCTGCCTGACCTTCAAGGGATGTCCTGGAGGTCAGTAACCCGCTGGTCTGGTTTCGGCTGTCCTGGTCCTGCCCTGCTGCCTGGCCACACAGTGCCTGCACTCAGAGACTGCTCTTCCCCATCACCCTTCGCTCCCACAGAAGAGAGCGAGAATGTGGGGACAGGACAAGAGCCAGTGACCCTCAGAGAGTTCTCCTGTGACCAGGAGGGAGCTGGGGCTGGCTGCAGCTCATCAAGCAGGCAAACCCTTCGCCCTTCTCAGTTCCCCAACAACAGGCACATCCCGTACCCAAGGGGTTTGTGCAGTCTCTGCTCATCACTCCTCGGGCTTCTACATCTCAAACAGCAACTGCTTTAAGTAAGGTGGCACATCAATCAGAGCACTTTTGCACAGAGACTGGGGGTGGTTACCCTGATCCTTCATTTTCAGTGTCCTGCCACTAATTTCTCTTAAAACCCACCGTGACCTCCCACTGTGACCTCAAAATCACCAGCTGATGCGACAGCTGTGAGCTAAAGACAAAGCAGAGGATCTGCCTCACTGGATAAGGTGCTGGTTCTGTGGTCCGGGAGTTTGGGGGTTCCTTTCCTTTAGAGACATCACTTGAATAAAAGCCCTTTTTATACTGGAAACAACTCACAAAACCTTCTAATCTCTGCAAAAATTCCATCCTGAGCTCAGTTAACCCCCAGCCCCCCTCCACGTGCATCTGAATTCCCAGTCTTTATCCAGAAATTGTGAGTCACAGGTTTTGAGGCTGAGTCCAATGACGCAGGGACTTTTCAGCAAGTGTTTTGCTGTAGTAAGCAGGTCTTCTCGTGATGCTCTCCTAGGATCAGCGCAGGAGCAGCTTTTGACACCATCCTCCTTTGGAGAGGATGACTGATTCCAACAGCCTTGTGCCCTTATCATTTAGTCTGTGTAATGTTTGGCTTATGACCTGCTTAGGAATAAAATCTGCCTCCCCTTGAGCAGGGAGGCACCACCAAAGCCTGGCCTGTGATGCTGCTGGAGGCCACTCAGTGGCTTTGCTGCAGAGCAGCTGCCAAAAGCACACCCGCCTGGGAGGGCAGTGCTTTGAAGCCGTGCCAGGCTCTTGTTCAGCATCTCAGCTGTCCATTGTGTCAGACCCCGTGGCCAATGCAGGGTGTGATCCTCCTCCACGTCCTCTCAACAGGAATTTCCGTGCTAAGCCGGCAGCAGGAGGCGTTTCACACCTGCTGCCTGCACTGCCCCAGAGCACTGGGCAAACTTCATCTAACCCAGACTCCTCCTGTCTTTCTCCATCCCAGACCAGTGCCTGTAGGCAGCTTCAGCTGCTTTTACATGAAGCCCTGTTTCTGGGAAATTAAAGACCCCAACCTGTGAATTCCCTGCTCCTACACCTTTACTGCTCCATCTCTGGCCAAACTACTTCAGCCAGACTGAGCTTTCTGCCTGTCTGCCTCCCTGTGACAGGCTGTGAGCAGAGTGACCAGGCTGCAAGGTCACCCCATGTGCCCAAAGTGCCACCAGCACTGCTGGCTCTGAACCCCCCATACAGGACCCAGCTGGTAAGCAGGGCCACTTTGGCACTGAAGCAGAGTGCAGTGACAACCCCACTTGAAGTAATCCCTTGGCAAACCCAAGTAATCACTGGAGAACACCCTAAACCACAGGAAGAGGGTGGGATTGCAAACAGGAACATTGGTGCTTTGTTATTTTTAGACATCAAAACCCCTTTTCCCCCTTTTGGGTCAATTACTGTGCTTGAAAATCCAGAGCCCCTCAGGCAAGCCTGCTCCTCCCAGCTGTCTTCTTCCTGACCTTGGGATGGAGCATGCCATGCCTTCCCAAAAACACTTTGCAAGTGGAATTTTGGCTTTATAAATCACCGCCTCTCAGCCTCTGGCTGGAGACAAACAGGACTGCTCCACTCCGACAAGAATGTGGAATTACTGTCCCAGATACGGATCACGGGAGAAAACTCCAGTATTTAATCTGGCAACCTGTTGCTACATAGCTGAGCACAGCTTAACAAACTGCAAACCCTAGGCTGTGCTAGCCAAAGAAATATTAAACTATATGGAAGTGAAAATTATTTCACTGGAAGTCTGCTCTAAAAAGAATGGAAGGTTGAGAGTTCTGCTCTTTTTTAACGCAGGCCAAGATGTAACTTGGTCCCTCAGGAATCTGAGCTCCTTGGCTCCCTGCCGTCCTGGTGAGTGTACCCCAGCACCAGCCCTGAACCTCTCGCCCCCACATCAAACAGCACAAAAGCAGCCTGTTGAGAGCAACCAGCACAGAGCTAAAACTGAGAAGAGGAAAAACTTAACAGCAGGTCCTTCTGACCCCAAGGAGATACCGCTCCTAGTGAGGCCACAGCTGGGATCCCGCACCCAGTTTGGGCCCCAAGGGATGGGGGGAGCTGGAGAGGGTCAGGCAAGGCTGATGGGGTGGTGATGTGCTGGGCACTGCCAGTGAGGAGTGGGGGGGAGTCTAGTCTGGTCTGGTTTAGTTTGAGCCAAATACTTAATTAACATTTCTTCCAAAAGCAACAAGGCTCTGAATGCACCAAAGGCACCAGGAACTTAACTGGAAGCAATTCCCACCAAAGGCAACAACCTCAAGGGAGAGCAGGATTCATCTTACCTCCTCGAGCTTTTCCACCCGACCCACCAGCTTGGTTGTGACCGAGTGCAGCTTCAGAAGGTCTAAGCCATAAAAGGCACTTTCCAGCATCTCCATGATGGAAGACAGCTGCAAGGCAAAGGGAGCACAGTCAGGCAGCAGCACTTGCTATCGTGTGCCTTGAGTGGTTCCCTCAGCTGAAAAGTCAAGGGCGATGCACCCATCTGAGTACAAGAAGTTTATTAAAAAGTGAGTTTTCGCTTACACAGCCTTGCTGCATTGCTGTCCCCGTCAGAGCACAGCATGCAGAGCAATGTGCTATACCTCTGCAGAGCTTCAGGGCTTTGGGAGCACATTTTGGGTGCTGGGGATTAGTAGCAGAACAAGGAGAAGCACTGCTCTCTTTGCCAGCTCTAGGCAGGCTCTCCTGCAAGCCCAAAGGATTAGCTACAGTGATGTGACTGCCAGCAAAAGAGGCAACAAGAGAAAGGCAGCTCAAATAAAAGTGAGTTTGAGATCAGACTCTGAGCTCGTGCCATCCCGTGCTTTTTTTCCTGGAACAAGAAGAAACTTGTTAAAAAATTTTTAAAATATTCCCAAACGCAGGAGTGAAGAACCAGATATTCAGTGCCAGCCTGGTAACAGTTTGCTTCCTGGAGAACAACTCTGTGAGAGAGATGCTGCCCTCTCCTGCAACCACCCATTTCGGAGACACCCTGTATTTAACTCACCCCTGTCCCACAGCAGGAAGGGTTGTGTCCCCTTGTCCTGCTCAGCATCAGCCCTTGCTCACCAGTCCTGGGGATCTGGACAGCAGTACCCTCATTCTGCCTTTTGTCTGAGTCCTGGTGCTCCTCCACAGAGGACAGTGCTGACCATGGCAAGGCTGAGGAGAAGCCGGTCCATTCCCTGCCTCAGCTCCCACACATCTCCTCCCTCCAGTCCCATGTGTCCCCACATGTCCACATGGTGCTGCAGACCTTACAGTCCCAATGGCTGAGAAGGATTTTCAGTGCCTAGGAATTACTACAGGGCAATGACATTTTCTCCAAGCAGCTACAAACTGGTCAACAGAGCTTCATAAACATGGGAGAATCACAGGCAGCACTGCTGGCAGCACTTGTAGTTTCCACCCCAGCCTCTGCAGTCTCCCTGTGGAGCTGACAGCAAAGGAAAGATTTTTTGGGCCAGATAAAATGGCAGCATTAAGAGACAAGAGCTGTTTTATGGCTATGCATCCACTTTCCACTGAGGGCTGGATAGAGACGACCGATACAATGCACACAGCCTGCCAGACAGCCACTGGAGACATGTGCTTTCCCTCCAGGCTGGATAATTTCCATCAATGTGCAAAGGTTACAGACTTTATTAACCTCCTTTCAAACCATCCTGAATACAGACTCCTTGCACTGACTCTGCACCCGAGACCCCACAACACACGTTGTGCCTAGAAGCAGAGGAGCAGCTTGTTGCCATTTCACAAAAACAGATCTTTGATTAAGCTACTCCCTGCCAGCACCATGATGACCCTCCCCGAAAGACCACACTGTTCCTACCAACTCAATGCTTCCTTCCCTTCATCCACTGCAGACTTACACTCCCACTGGTCTGATGGTCCATGAATTCCCATGGGACCTCATTAAAGACACAGGTGGGACTGAAATCTTCAGCTGGGATGCCCAGCACAGCCACTCGACTGAGTTGGGGTGCCCAGACATACGTTCCTGCTGCCTGGACTTTTCTCTCTGTGTTTATCCCTCTTTCTCACCGTTCCCTCAGGGACACATCCTCCAGCCCACTCATCATAATGGAAGGAACTTCCCACAGCTCTCCCACACATGGAGTACCCACAGCTTTTGAGTCAGAGCATAAGAAAGTCTGGTAAAACACAACACACACAGAGCATGACCCTGTGCACTTCCCGCTGCTGGACTGAGCAAGGGTGATGCTCCTCGGACCAGCAAAGAGAGCTATACCCCTGGGGCTGACCCGGCCCTGCGCTGAGGAGTGCAGGAGCTGCTCCTCACGAGTCACGTAAGAACTGGAGCTGTGTCCTCTCCTATTCCCAGCTTCTCCCAAGAGAAGTGGCTGTTCCCAGTGAGCCCGACAGCAGGAGGGGCTCTGAGAAAACAGTCCTGCTTCACAGCTCCTGGGGATGGACTTCCACAGCAAAGAAAACCCCCGCGTGTGTATGTTTGGATAAATCTTGTGAAATCGTTTGGCCGCGAATCCTTGTGAAATGAGCAGGGGAGCCGGGGCCAGTTCCTAGAGGACAGGCTTTCACACCACAGCTGGCTGTGAGCAGCTCCCCGGTGGGAAGAGCAGCTGCAGCCAAGGGCGCAGCTCGCCACACCACTCTGCTCCTCCTGGAGGCTGACCAGCCCCAGAGAGGATGGGGAGAGAGCTAGATGTGAGAGAGCCAGAGAGATGTGAGGTGGAGGAGCTCTGCCTGCCTCCTGGCAAGGGACTACAGAGTGTCCCCTCCCCTAACACACAGAGCTCACAACTCCTTATCTAAGACCATGTGTGACATTCTGGCTTCTCCCCCAGACGAAGGACCACCAAACAACTCTAGACTGGGACTCCTCCTTCCCTGAAATGATAGATTGTCTGCCTGTGCCTGTTTATCTTCCCTAGCTGCAGGGGCACTTGGACAAGAAGCTGCTAACTGTCTGCAGTTGGACAAGATGAAACACATCCTGAAGCTCCAAATTAATTAGAACAAGCCCATGGTGGTGGTGGCCTCAGTGGCAGGCTGCCCCACAGCATCTCACACACCACCTGCCTTCCCTCCAAAGCTGGGACAAGCAGGGCTGCCCCTGGGTATATCCCATTGCCACCCACACCAGTGCCACCAGCATTCAGCCTTCTGCTCCAGGGACTCCCCAGGGCTGGACCAAGCCAGTGGCAGTTTCTGCTGCCCTGCACTGGTAGAAAACTTGAAAACTCAGCAGGGCTTGCTGCCAGCTGCTCCACCAGCAAAACCAAGAATCCAGCAGAAGTCAGGAGTATGTAGAACAAACACTGTCATGTTTGGAAAAGAGTTCTGTATTACTAGAGAGATAAAATACTAAATAGTAGAGAAGTGTCAGCATTTAAAACAACAAACCCATCCTGCCATCTGCCAGCTGTGCAACACACCCTCACGCTGACGCATCAGCAGCTTTTGGCCCACAGAAGCCAAAACAGCTTTTCTGTATGGGTCTTTGGGAGTCCCTCTGCGCAACAGGAAAAAGACCTGACAGCTGCCGAGCAGAGCAGAGCTGTGCCCCAGGGACATTTGGAGCTGGACAAAGGGCAGGGAGCAGCCCAGTTCCTCCTGGGCTTCCAGCAGAGACAGCCACGGTGGACCCCAGGCAGCATGGGATCAATCGAGTGAATCATCCACTGCAGCTGCTCGAATCAATCCCTTAAGCTGAGCTTGATTTTTATATCAGACATGCGGACATAAAAATAAGTAGGAGATGGTTTAGAAAAAAAAGTTTGGGAAATATTTTTTTTTTTTAGAAAAAGCTCTGAAATAAAAGGCTTCAGAAGACCTCCCACTCCCCAAAGAGTCCCAAGCTCAAGATGCTCTCCTACCTTCAGGTCACTGCTCTCTGCCTCCCGCAGCTTCTTCAGCCTGAAGTCCCCCTCGCAAGGGTTGAGGGCCGAGGGGGGGGCCACGCACGCACACTTGCAGCTGGGTCCTGACGTGATGGTTTCCACCGTGTAAAAATCCTCTGCTCTGAAAGCGCCTTCGTTAATCCTCTGGCAGGCGCCGCGGCCCAGGGGTCTGACCAGGCATTTGCACCGGCAGTCGGAGCCTTCAGACACCGCCTTCACCTTGTCGTAGTCACCTAACAGCTGAGCACAGGTCACAGCAGTTAGCCAACCTCCCGTCCTCTGCCTGCACAGCAAGGACAGCCTAGACCTTGAGGTCAAAACGAGGACACTTTGGATACCCCGAACCTCGAGGAAACTGCCCGGCTTTTCCAAAATCTGCCAACCAAGAAGCTTTCTAGAGATTGCAAAGCTTTCTGACCCCTGCCTACAGGGGGAATAAAAACTGGCTTCTTACAACGTGGTATTTTTTATTCCACTGTGTGCAGAATGCTGCTTTGAATTTTAAATACAAAGGATTTTAAATGTGAACACCATCCTGCTGTCTTTTAATGCTCCACGTCCAAAAGACCCAATAAGTCACCTGCTTCCCAGAACAAGACTTTTTTACACAGGCAAACAGGGTAATGGTACACTGGAAGAGTGACTGAAAGCCACCCTATAAGCAGCATAACCTGGTGGTGAAGCAGTATTTCTGATTAGCCCTATACAATGCCAGGAATTTCCTTTACGGAGATCTGCAGACAGCGCTTCTGAAAGCCCAAGCACAAAAATAACTTTGGCGGTACGTTTCCAATAGTCCCTGCGTTAGCCATTTCCGAGGGCAGATAATCACACACCATCTGATCGGCCAAGTCTAACAGAAACCTCCACCGCATCCCACTGGCAGGGAAAGAGCCTGGATCCCTCCCCTCTGCACACAAAGAGGCTCCACTAATTCCCCTCCCAAGAAACTCCCCGTTTTCCGAGTCCTCCTCGGGGAAATGATAGGATGGAGGCTGTGAACTGCTCCCAAAAGGACTTCAGAGAGTTCACTGCACCTCGGGTGCACTCTCTCCAGTGCTCACCGGCGGTGCTGGCTGAGTACGCAGCATCACCCAGCATCGTTGAGCATGCACAGCAACACATAGCATCATCCAGGCTGTGTACAGCACCACCCAGGGTGCACGCAGCATCACCCAGCATCGCTCAGGGTGCACACAGCATCACCCACGGTGTGCACTGCATCACCCAGCACCGTCGAGCACGTACACCCGGCATCCCCCAGCACCCCGCAGGCTGCGCGCATCATCCCCCCGGCAGTGCCTGCATCCCCCGCGGGTACCTGGGAGAGAATGTTCTCTTGGTTGTCCGCCTCGTCCTGCAGCGGCTCTGCGGAGGGCCGGCCGTGCGGCAGGGGTGGTCCCTGCCCGGCAGCCGGCGCCAGCGCGGCCAGGCAGAGCAAGCGCGCAGCCGGCCGAGCCATGGAGGGCGGGCGGAGGGCCCGGGGCCGGGCGGGAGCGCCGCTGCTCGCTTCAGGTGCGGCGAGGCGGGGCGGGGGGGCCGGCCGGGCTCCGCCCCGCTCCTCCCTCCCACCCGGCTTCCCTCTCCGTCCTCCTCCCGGTCTCTCCCGGTCCTGCCCTTCGGCGACGGGAACGGGGCTCGGCGGGGCCGAAGGGTGCGGGGGGCGGGGCCGCGCCCGGGCGGGTTCCCACCTGCGGGTGGGTTCCCGCAAGCGCAGCCCGCATGCTCGGGCGCCCCCGAGGCGCTCGGGCATCTCCCGCCGAAGGAGGCTGCGGTGCGACCCCGCGCGTGGGGCTGCTCCGGGAGGATGCGACCCGCCTTCCCAAAGTGCCCGCACTGCCGGTCCGCACCCGGCAAACCTGAGCCTCCCGCCCCTGCGGTGTGCCAGGGGGCTGCTGGGGGACGCAAAGCCGTCCTTATGACCTCCCTGGCTCCTGAGAGCAGCCTGGCTCTCACCGTCCATTCCTTTAGGTCCCAGGGAAATGGTGCTGATGGCACGGCACACCGTGGCTCTCCAGTAACACTGCACACACTGGGGTCACACAAGCAGTGCATGTTTCCAAGACGGGCTCCCAGCCATGAGAGCAGACCTGTGTGCTCACTGAAATCCAGGCTGACGCCGCCGGGAAGCGGTTGCACTCTGGCAATCCTGTATCCTTCTGCACCTCCTGCCAAACGGAAATGTTCTGGACATGCTGTTCCCAGGGAAAGCACAGGCACAGCATCTTCTGCTGCGGAGGTGTCTGCACTGCCCTGAAGATGTCCTGAACCTCACTGAAGCACGAAGAAACCTGAGATGCCCTTATAAAAGTACCAATGACAATCAAACACAAGCCAGCACCATGTCCCAGATATGGCACATGCTCACATTTGCCTCAAAACCTGCCCACGAGGTCACAGGGAGAAGCCACACACACAGCAGGCAGCACGAGAGGCCACGTGAGCTCTTGCTGAAGCAAGCTGTCCACAAGCCAAGTACCCCCAGTCCTTAACACACTCATGTCCATAAACCACCCCAAAACTGGTGCCTGCAGCCCTGGGACCAGGCATCTCCCTAGGGGGGCTCTGGCTCTCCCATCCCATCACTCTCTCCCAGGGTCACTCCATGGGGATGAAGCCGCCAGACACAAAGAAAACATCTTGTGTGAGAGAGGAAGCGGCTGTGGCACAGGGGATGGCAGAAGATGCTGACTCCAGGACTGCAGGATTCGTGTGGGATGGCACTGTGCCTCCCTCTCCTCTAGCCTCCCTGGGAAGTGAGGGCTGTGGAAAAGGGGGCAGGGACGTGTGGGTTCCTGCAGCAAGGCTGAGTGGAACAGAGCAGGAGGGGAAGCAGCCAGGGAGGATGGGAGGACAAGGACAGCCAACCTTTGGGCAACTGGAGAGCAGTAGGAGTCAAAAAAACATTTCTAAGATCCTCACCCCACCAGTCTCTCTCAAGGATAATAGTTCCCTTGGGCACCAGCTCCTTCACTTCTGTTTCCATCGCTGAGCTTCCCTGGGAAGCAGCTACTCCCTCTGTCATCACAGACTGCCCCGAGGCTGCAAGACTGGGGCTTCTGAAGCCCCCAGCTCGTACCCAGTGGGGCCTCCAGCTGGTCCAGAGTGCCAGTGATGGCACTGCCAGGGCTGGCAGTGAGAGCAATGCCAAGAGCTCCCACAGCAAACAGCACCTGAAACTTCGTAAGCCTTTTCCTAAGGATCACCTTAAAGGCTGGGAAAAAAAGGAAAACAAATCAACCGCAGTATTTCAAAACAAAAGGGAAGGCTTTCCTATGTTACTGAAGTCCTTTGTTGATTTCTTTTCTAAGGGGAAAAAAGCATTTTCGGTGGTATTGAGTTAAAGAGGGGCTTAAGCCTGTGCTTTGGGGGCAAGAAGAGAAAGTGACAGGCATTTAGGGTTCACTGCAGTCATCTCTAAAATCTGAACATTTCCCCTTCAAGAAAAAAAACAAGACAAACCCATGGACTGAGGAGGACCACAGAGCAAGTAAGTGTGGATCTACCTTCTCTGTCTAGCTGAAGGAGGCTGCCCAAACCTTGGTCTGAGCAGGAGATCCAGGGTCCCCAAAGCTGGTCCCATTCTCTGTGACAGGGCTTGTGCAAAGCCAAGGCAGCACAAGGATGCAGATAGACAATGCTCTCTTCTAGTGCCACAAGAGTGCCATCAAGTGCCATCACCAAATGTTGGAAAAATGGAATCTAACAGCTTCAAGACAGACAACAGAACATGTCTGTGCCAGGAGCTGTGGGTGGAAAAACCTGCATCCCCAAAAGCATGTCCTTGGTGCCTCTCACCTCCCTGCGCTTGTGAGGGGTTCTTGCAGCAGGGAGACCATTTCATTATGGGTCAAACGACGGCACGGGCATGGCGGTGGGAGATTTAAGATCCGGGATGCCCCCGGCGATGGATGCAGGGAGCCATTCATTTTGATTGTCAGGGCCTGCTGAGATTGGCAGGATCGAGGGGGACAGCACAAGCGGCGGCACGTCCTGGCCTTTGGGGACAAACGCCGCTGTCCCCAGTTTGGGGCAGCCGGGCGCTCCCCTCGCCTGGGTACCGCTCCCCGAGGGATGCTCGGAGCCGAGGCAGGTGACCGGAGGCAGGACCCCCGGGCCCGCTCCGCGAGGGATGCTTCGGCGCGGGCAGGACCCCCGCAGGACCCCCGGGCCCCGCTACCCCGAGGGATGCTCGGCGGACCGGGGCAGGACCCGCCAGGACCCCCGGGCCGCTCCCCGAGGGATTGCTCGGCCGCCGGGGCAGGACCCCCGGCAGGGACCCCCGGGCGCTCCCGGGATGCTCGGCGCCGGGCAGGACCCCCGCAGGACCCCCAGCAAGGCCGCCGCCGGTCGTGCCGCCGGGCGTCGCGCTGGCGGGCCGCAGCTCCCCCGCCGTGGCCCCGCAGCCCCGCGCACAGCCCGGCCGGGACAGCCCGGGAGCTCCTTACAGTTCTCCGCAGTTAAAACGCTTCCTATTTGGGAGCAGCGATCCGTGCTGGCCGGCCCGCGACACCCCGAGCCTCCTCCAGGTGGGACAAGCCCCAGCGCGCCCAGCAGGAGAGACGCTCCAGTTCCTTCTCCATTCCAGTGTCCCTCCCCTGGAAGCTCTCCAGTATGCCCGCCTCTCCCTTGTACTGGGCAGCCCAATTCTGGACACAGCGTTGCAGGTGGACCTCAGCAGTGCTGAGCAGAGGAGAAGGGTCCCCCTCTGCCTGCTGTCAGCCCTCACCACACCAGTCGCCTTCTTTACTGCAAAGGCGTGTTGCTGGCTCATGTTCAACTTATTATCTACCAGCACCCTCGGGGCCTTTGCAACTGAGTTGCTTTCCAAGTGGGTGGCCCAGCACATAGTGGTGTGGGGGGGGCTGTTCCTGCCCAGATGCAGGACTCTGCACTTCCCCGTGTTGAACTGCATGAGATCCCTGTCACTCCACTTTTCCAGCCTGTCTCTGGATGGCAGCCTGGCTCTCTGACCCGTCAGGCACTTCTGCCAGTCCCGAAGGACACACACGTGCACAGGACACACGTGAGCTAATTTAGGGCCCAAAGCTGAGAGATCCCTAGCATCCACATGGATGGGACACGTCACCTTCCTTGTTATCTGGCCTGGAGACGAGCACGGTGAGCTAGAGGCTGTGGTTGATCTTGGCACGCTCTTGGTATTTGCCTGAGCTCTTCCCAGCACCTCCATGTGGCCTCAGTTCACGTGGCTTTTGGTCCCATGGCCTTGGGTCTCAGCACCACATCCCGCCGAGACAGATCAAAGCTGCAGGAGGCAGGTCTCCTTGCTTGTATTCCCATGCTGGATTCTGCAAGGCCCTATAAGCTAGTCCAGTTGTCGTGCAGAGGTGACATGTAGAAAGAGGCTGATGGAGTATGTCACCATGTTCCTGGGCTCTGCAGCTCAGTGCCCACTGCCAGCAGCAGCCAGGGGCTCCTGAAGGCAACACTTCTGTAGCTGCCAAGGGCCAGCGAAGAGATGGGTGAGCATTTAAAGGGGGAAGTGGACTCAAGAGAGCCCATTCACCTGGACACAGCAGATGGTTGGATGGCAGGAGGCCACACAGCTCAGCAGCGGCCACAGCAAGTGGTGAGAGTCCCTCGTGCATCCGCTTCGCCACACAGCTTTGCTGCTCGTGCCCAGGGTGAGGGAAGCTCCCTCCCACCTCCATTCAGTGGAGGAGGAAATCCGTCTCACAGAATTAACCACTGAATTAACCAGCCAGGAAAGCTCATGACGTGACCGTGAGTTGCACAGCAATTTGAGAGGTTTCCCTACTGACCTCAGCAGCGAGACTTGTGTTTACATCTGTGAGTCAAATGAGACCTGGGTGAACAGGCACGTGCTCTGGAAACCATTCCAAGGTTGTCCGCCCCGTGTCACTGCGGGAGGCACGGCTGCACCCAACCTGACCCTTCAGCATCCCTCCTTCAGCAAGCCCTGGGCAGATAATGGAGGCCTGCCCAAGCCAGAATACCAAATGCATTAAAAAGCGTGTCCTAAAAACAATACTAATAGAACGTTACAAGAATGGTTTTTGAAAACGGGATCGGGCCAGGATAGTTGTGCTGTGTCAGACAGGCTTGCTAGCTGGGAGCCCCAGGCCTCCTAGGAAGGTCTTTTCCCCCTGTAAGAATTTATGAGAACAGCTTAAACCTGGGTTTAGGAGAACTTGAACCAAGCTGAGCTGTGCAGGCACTGAGTACAAAGGTCAGGACAGATTACTGTAATGTGAGAGAACTGGGACTTCATACAAGTTCTGCTTTATTATTAGATAATAATTATATAACACTATATTATAATACAACTTTTAATTATTTTTATATATAATAATATATAATATAACAATACTATAACTATGTTATTACACATTGTTAATAAATTATTCTGCTTTATTATATTATGCTGAAATTGATGGCTTCCTGTTCCCATTCACCAAGCAGTGCCAGACCCTAGGGCCTGGTATTTTCCCACCACTGTCAGAGACTTTTGGCACCAGCTGGGCTTTCCTACACGACATGGGTACCTGTCCTGGGCCAGCACTGGTACCTACAGAGTGCAGACAGGTAGCATGGCTCTCACAGCAGCCTCAGACACCCTGCAGCCCCACTCTTCCTCCATGGAAACCCCTGCCCCATGCTTACGCCACGCATGGCACAGCCAGGAAAACAGGCATGGCTGTTAGTCCTGCTTTCAACAGCACAGAAGGTGACAAAGAAATCCAGTGGGTAATGTGAGGGATGCCAGCTGTT